AATGTGGATTATTCCTTATATTACACTGTAATCTATCTTTTTTGTTTCTTTTTTTAAATTTTATTTTTCAATTACAATTGACAGTCAATATTATTTTATATTAGTTTTAGGTGTACAACATGGTCATTAGACAGTTATGCAATTTACAAAGTGATCTGCCGATAATTCCGGGACCCACCTGGTGCTATACATAGTTATTACAATATTATTGACTGTATCCCCTATGCTGAATCCATCTTCCTGCCACCTTCAGGACCCCTTTCTCTGGAACAGGGTAGGAATTCCCATTCGTTGAAGCGCTCAGGTTCTCACGGTGCCTGTAGCTGTGCCTTCTCACCTGACTTTACCACCATTCCAGGCAGCCCTCCGATGGAGAGTAACGGGCAGGATGCTGCCCCCTCGAATATTCACCCGCCACCCGTCTTCCTGAGTATCCTCTAACCTCAGAGTACAGCCCCCACTTGCTTCCCCAGGGCCTTGCACCTAGTTGTCTTTCTCCTCATTTACTTCTTTATGTACGTTGACTGATAAAATGTTTGCCAAAGGTCCCAGAAGCATTCAGTCATTTGGTAGTGAAGTAACATTCCATGATTCTTATTGCTGGGAACCCTGGTCTAGCATCTCTGCCCGTTTGGCTATTTCTTTTATTGGTACCACCTCCTTCCCGCTAAGCGGGAAATCCTGAAGCCTCAGAGTGTGGTTTCTCTCTTCCTGTTCCCTTCCTCTCACATCTAACTGGTGCCAAGCCTTGAAGATTTTTACTTCTTCCCCATCGTGTGATTCCAACTCTCCTTTCAGTCCTGGTACATCTTAGACTGCGTTATTATAGGGGAGGTTCCTTTTTTCCTTCCTGTTTCACTTACTGCCACTGAGAACAAGGTAAGTGCCTTGTTCCTTGTCAGTACGATGGGGCAGGTAAGAGTCCCAACAAATAGTGGGATTGTTGGGAGGGATAAATAGGATACTATACAGAGAATGTTTAGAACAGTGCCTGGCACAGAATAGGTGCTATGGAAGTGTTGGCAATGAGTATTATTACTGGACCCCTCCAATCCTTTGCCATGTGTACCATTCCAGAACATTCCTTTCATCGGGCTCCACCCCTGCTCAAAAGTCTGCAGTCTTCTCATGGTCTGTCTGTCCAGCAGTAGTCCCTAAAGTGAGTGTGCAAGACCAAATTGCCAGGGTATGGGAAGAGAAAATTGACTCCTTCTACATGTTTTTCCCCCCTAAATCTCATTCTTTTAAATTTTCTACTTTTTGAGTATGTTTTACACTATATATTTTTGAGTAGGGGTACTTCTATAATTTATAAGTGTATGCAATACACGTACATACTTAGGGGAGTGCAAGCAAGCGAGTGTGGGGACCCCTGGCCTGGAAGGCGAGATCCAGACTCCGAGCTGGGCATTCCCCTGTGGCCCGCCCCAGCCTGGCGGTCCCGAGGCCCCTCCTGGTCCCCCTTCCTCATGGCCCCCACTCTCTCTCCACCTGCCCCACCTTGCGCCTTTTGATTTCCGTCACTGCTCAACCCCTCTTCCTGTTCCTAGAGATTTTTCTCTCATTTCTCATCCAGAAGTTCACCTTAAACGCCACTTGTTCCATCAAGCCTGCCAGGATCATTCTAGCTTGAAATGCTTCCTTCAGGCTCCCCGGGCATTCATTGTCGATACTACTCATTTGGCCCCTGCTGTTTTCCACTCGGAGTTGGGATCTTTTGCCGTGTACATTTCTTGGCTCCATAGTTCTGTTAGTTCACATGTGAACATACCTTTAAATCAGGTTTTGCTCGCTGACTTTATTTTGACCAGTTTGTCGTTCATCATTTGTCTGGAGACACATGCCTACACTTTTGAATGACATTAATGTAGCTCTGTTTTATCGTAGCAATATATAATTCTTTAAGGAAAAGATGCACGTGCTACGGTTGTGATCTGAATCCCCCTAGATTTCATGGCGTGCTTCCGCCCGAGGCAGACATTTATCTGCAGTATAGGATTGAACATCTTTTGTGTGTGGATTTATTATTTCCTTTTACTCCAGGTGACCTAAAATCATAATCCTCGTGTTTAATGCCTGTAGTTTAGTACTTACAGTCCTGAGTTCTGCATGTCCTCCTGGGAGGTGCGGAAAGCTGGATGGTACACAGAACATATCCATTTCATCTTCATTTCCCCCCCTCCTCAAACACTGTGAGAATGCTCTTCCATCGGCCAGGTTTTGTCAGCGTGTGACAGACAGCAGCTGTGCTATTGCTGGAGAGTCTATTGGTCCTGCAGTCAGGAGGCACAAGTTTAAACCTTGATCCCACTTCTTGTTGGTTGTTTCGACTTGACCAAGTAAGTCATTTAACCTCTCAAGTCATTTAACTTCATCTGTGAAGTAAGCCTAATAATGTGTACTTCATAGAATTGTTGTGAGAATTAAGAGAGTGCCTATGAATGTGCTCACACCTCGGAGGCGGTCAATAAGTGTCTTTTTAAAAGAAAAAGTAAGGGTCTTCTTCGTCCTCTGTGAGTCAGCTGTCTGGTGCAGAGTATACTTTGAGGGGAAAAAGCTTGAGAAATTTCACCTACCTGACTGAGCAAACAGGCTGCAGACCGAAGGCTGGACATTAAGCCGGCCTGGTTTCTGGGCTTGTCTCTAATAGAATGTCGATGGCTTCCCCAGGGAGCATGAGGATTAATTAGTTAATCTTTGTAAAGCACTTTGAAAGTGAAAAGTGCTATGTAAGTGGAATGGTTGAATTGCTATCGGAGATGTAATAGTGGTGGCACCATATTCTGGCAGTCTTGCCTGTTTTGGACATCAATAATCAATAGCAGAGACGGTTCTGAGATGTTTTCCTTGATAAGGAAGGACTCTTTGTGGGACTTGTGATAACACAATTCTTCTGCAGAATTGCAGATAGCAACTTGCCAGCTCTTCCCAGCAGAGGAATGGTAGGGCCGCTTAAGAAATCACAGTTTCCTTGTCTGGCCCCTCGGGAAGTTCCCTGCTAGGCCACTCTGGTTGTAAATCTCAGCTAGCTCAGGTGGAGAGGCAGTTTGCCAGTTTGGGATGCTTTCTGGGTCCTGGGCACATGGGTTTTTGGGGGTCTAATCCTACAGAAGTGAAGGCAGAGTGTTGAGTGGATACCCAGTGACGTGGACCAGTATGAATAGGCAGTTAGAGAAGTGACACGGGCTCGCAGAAGGAGAGGGGGCTTAGCTGTGTGACCCTGGGCAGCTCAGTTCTCTGAACTGTGATTTCCTCAGTTGTTAAGTGGGAACACAGTAGTTGATGAGAACAATAATAAAGATGGCTCACGGGAGGGTAGGTTTCATTCTTTCTGCGGAGAACTAAGGAGTCAGGAAAGGTTTCACAGAACTGGTGGTGCCTGAACTGGACTGTAAAGGTCGGGCCATTGTTTGTCAGATGAGCAACGTAAGGAAAGGTCATTCATGTCAACAAAGGAGTAGCACGCATCGGCCAGGAGGTAGTACGTCTGGGTGGACCTACGCGCGGTTCTTGAACTCTGCCTGCTACCCTGTGGGCTGCCCAGACTTTGCCCCCTTTTTGAAGGAGCTCAGAAGTCGGGTTCCTGTGAACTTCTTGTTATCCATGTTGGTGTCCAGGAGCAGGCTGATCTTGAGAACCATATCCCTGCAGAGCCCTGCATCCCTGCAACAGTCTGACATTTCCCCTGTGAGTCTGGTTGTTTTTAGCTGACACTATGAGCCATATGTTGAATGTGGGGCCAGATGAAGCTTTGCTACTAAACACAGAGTATGTAGTAGATTTGTCTAGAATTTAATATGCATTACTTGGTGTTTTGTCTCTTAAGCAAAGTTTTTCTTTGTTAAAATAAACATGTATAAAGAATTTATACAGCGCACATGGTTATGCATATTTATTGCAGAGAATCTGTTAATAATCTATGCCTCATCAGATTTTGCATTTCTGTTGAAATAACAAGTGTGGCACTTGGTACGACTGAATGAATTTGGTGAAATTTCTCTTATCTGGGAGAAGAAAGGCCATTTCTCTTTTTCCAAACTTCATTTTCTTCAATCATCTTCAGCACTGGCCAGCTTCCCAGGTGGTGCATCTGGGGAACTGAATGCTTTTCTGGCTGTAAATGATTTTGTCTTTTTTTCCTTCTCGCACTCCCTTCCCTAGCACGCAGAGACACTTGCCTGGGGACTGTTAGAATTGCTCCTTTGAATAAGAGCACGGACTCTGAAAGGCCCTCTGATGTTACACTGAGGGGAAAACATGTGAAACTGGCCATTAATTGAGCTTGAAGTAAGGCCCTAAGAGGTTGTGCCATGGGGCAAATCAGGAGCCTGGGGGACTTCAGGGTGGCTAGTGGGGACCCTGAAGGGGTGAGAGAGAGAGGAGAGCCTGAGAACAAACATCTCGGCAACGAGCTCCGAGGTCCGGGGAGAGAGAAGGTAGGCAGGCCTTACAGCGTCGTGGGTAGGTGTTCTCTGGGTCATGTCCATATCTGTTAAAGTGCAAGCGCATGGGCTTTAGAATCAGTTTCTGTTGACTGGAGCTCCGTTGCCCACCACTTATTTGATCTCGAGCAAGTTCTTTCACCTCTCCGAGCCTCAGTTTCCCACACCTGTAAAATGTGGATACTTGTACTTTCTTTTTTTTTTTCAGTCCTCACCTGAGAATATTTTATTATTGATTTTAGAAAGAGGGGAAGGGAGGAGGAAAGAGAAAGAGAGAAACATCGGTTGGTTGTCTCCCATACACACTCCAGCCAGGGACTGAACCTGCAATCTTGGTATGTGGCCTGGCCGAGGATCAAACCCACAGCCTTTTATCGTACAAGACAGCATTCCAACCAACACCTGGCTAGGGCTTCTCGTGCTTTCTTTACAGGCAGATAGGCTCCTGGGATATAGTACTTGGTACTAAAATAAATGTTCACACTTTCTGTTGTAATTCAGTGCCTATCCATGAGAGCTGTGGAATGTAGCCTTAACTCAAATAATGTTTGTTTTCAGAAACTGCCAAGGTGTTTACTTGGGGCCGAGCGGACTACGGTCAACTAGGGAGGAAGCTGGAGTCTCCTGAAGTCTGGAAACCAGAAGAGCAGGGGTCACCGCTCCCCTGCTCGAGTCCGCAGAAGAGCACGCCTTTGTCTCTGCACTGCCTAACAGGAGCAACTGAGGTAGGAGGTGACTTCCCAAAGACGAGATGCATCTCTTTTCCTTGACTTTCAGTGAAGCATTTATCAAGTTCCTACTGTGTGTGTATATTCCAGGCAATATGGTAGGTTCCGTACAGGAATCTGAAAAAGATCCTTGCCTCAAGTTGCTTGTGGTTTAAGATGGTAGATAAGGCAGTTATCCAGATAATTACACTGCAGGGCAGACTGTGTGTAACACCTTTAGAGAGGTTCCAGGTACTCTGGGTCTACTTCAGGAGTGAATTCCGGGGGCAGGGATTAGGTTAGGCTTTGAGGGGGACATGGCTTTGAGCTCTGCCGTGAGGATGGGTCAGACATAAAACAAGCAGCTATAGAAGAGGACTTTTCAGGTGGGCACAACACCTTGACCAGAGTCATGGGGTTAAGGAAAGTAAAGAAAGTGTTTGGGGGCCCCCTGGAGCTTGGGTTGTCTGTGCCGGCAAATGCGAGGTGACATCAGAAAGATGGGGTGGAGTCTGATGGGGGGGGGCGGCCTTTATACTGAGCTCAGTATTTTTGTGCTTCTGTTTATATTTCCCAGTGTGGAAAACACTAGTTCATTTGCTTATTCAAGCCCCTGCAGTTCCCTGAAATGTCTCGAATTTCTACATTTAAGGCAGGAGTCTTAATTTCTCCAGGGTGTGTGCTTCTGTTACTAAATTTTACTTTACTGCTGTTCTTATAAAAAAAAGAAAAAAAGAAAGAAAAATAAAAGGCTTGGTTTTTAGAGAAGAATGAGGATGGCCACACAGGAAATGTGCCTCTGAACCCAAGCTGACTTGATAAAGGAATTCAGTCTTCATTCAGAGTCTGTCAAAAAAATTAATAAGCTAGTGAGACTTCTGTAATTAGCAGCAGACTAATTACAACCCTGGCCATACCTACAGGGCTTCCCTTCCCCCAGGGCCTGCCTGGCCTCCTCCTTCTGGGTATGTAGGACGGTCTCCATTTCTGCCTCACATCTCAGCCCTGGTCCTCCTGGGCCTTCCCTCAGTGCTGCGCAGAGTCTGTCTGTCTTTCTCACTCTCTTTCTTTAATTGAAGAGGCACTAAACAACACAGCAACGACAGTCTGGACATGGTAATAATAATAATAATAACAAAACAACCATCCATAGTCTTACCACCCTCACACAATTACATTTGTTTTTGTATAGGTATATGTGCATCCTTTACAAAATTATTTATAATGTTTTGTATTGTCTTCATTTATTTGACCATGAATGCTTTGCTTTGTTTTTCTTGGTCTTTAAGATCACTTGAAATGGCTCTTACATGGTTGGGAGGTTTGGGGATTTTCCGAATCATTCTTTGAATGTTGGACATTGAGATCATTTCCTTTTTTATTTGTATTTTTTGGGCACCATCGCGGACTCTGCAGTGAATACCCTGTTGTATTGTTTCTTGAAGATACAGTCGTGGGCATGAAATTGCGGGGATGAAGGCCATGAGCATCTTTATGACTTCTGCTGTATTTCTCTGGATTCCGTTGGAAAGAAGTTGTCTCTACCAGCAGCGAATGAGGGAAATGCAGAATTTAAGGTTTTGCCTGCTTAGCGAGTTCAGGCGCTGAGACTTGGTACATAAGGCTTTATTTTAGACTCTTCTTGCTAAGACTTTGTGCTCAGGTAGCATAGCAGCGGCAGAGAGGTTTCATGGATTTTTTTGAGTCTCTGGTTTTACTGGCAAGATGAGGATAACAATACCGACCACCGAAGGTCTCTAATGAGGATTCCTTGCAAAGTTCTTGGCATGTGGCAGGAACTCACGCAGTTATTGCTGCGTCCTTTATCTTCTTCCCCTTCGAAGCCATTTAAGGCCCTGTGGAGGCCACAATGTGCAGCACTGTGACAGACATGGCCAGTGCAAACACATAGCCGAAGAGCCTGACAACGGTGTGACTTTTAGTGAGCTTCGTAGCGGGGCCATCTGAGGAGTTGGCGTGGGCCCTGTGGCAGCTTCATTCAGAGTCCCCTTCCACCTCTGCTCTAGCCTTTGGGGTGCTGGTGTGTATTCTCACTGGTCTCACTGCAGGTTCAGCCTCCAGGCTGTTTTCTGTACGTGAACTGGGGCTGGGAATGACCTCTACTGTTGATATCCGGGTCTGCCCTATCTATTTGCCTGAGGCCCAGAGCCAAGCCAGTGTGAGCAGCTATAAGCTATTAGGAGTAGTTGTCAAGCCCAAATGCCATTTTAAGCCCCATTGATTCACCTTGGACATAACATGGTATTACAGTGGCAGGGGCTTGGCTAGGGAGGTGCAGGGACGCCTGGGGAGATAGGTACAGCCTTGGACTGAGTTGGATTCCTGATCTTCAAGGACCTGAGTGTGGCCCTTAGCTGACCAATTGCCTTCTTTACGTCTAAGGGATAAGCTGGAGGAGGAGTGAGCTGTCTGGGCTGGGGCCTTAGGTTGGATGTCTGCCCAGAAGGGTCCAGAGGGGCAGCCAGGCAGGAGTGGAAAGCGCAGGTAGATAGAGATGGACTGTGATGTAAGCATCTCTTCCTGAGAACAAAAGAAAGCAAATAAACACACTGTTACCCGGTGGTTGCTACGGGCCAAGCAGTGTGATAAATGCTTTCTAGGTATGATTTCATCTTCACAGTAAACCTGGGCACAGGTTGTACTCACAGCTTTACGAATAAGGAGACAAAGGCTCAGAATGGGAAGCCACTGGCCCGGGATCACACTGTATGTAAACAACGGGGCTGGGACTTGGACTTGAAGTACTTGAAGCTCACATTTTTTTGTATAAATGAAGTAAAATAGCATATGTCATTTTACATGTTTATCCCCACCTGGGTGAAAGTTCTGGAAGTCTGAGATTCAGGTTTCTGATTCCCTGAGAGTCTCATTATTTTCCTTTCGAGCTGTGTCTCATCCACGGCCTGAGAAAGACTTGGAGATTTTGGACCTGGTGGACCTTCCTTTAATGTTCTTACAGCGGTGAAGACTATGTGTTTCATGCTCTGTCAGCTTCGCCTTAGACGCGGGCCTCTCTAGCCACTCTTGGAAAATTCCAGGCACAGCACAGCAATTGGGATTAATCCCCCTGTGCACACGTGAGCGTGTGGGCGGACAGGTTTGTATGTTCCCTGACAGCAAACATGCACCACAGCAGCTTTTTGCTTTCCAAGCCCTAAGTGGGGCTGCTACCTGCACATTTCCTGTGGAACATTGGCTCTAAATTCCACCCAAAGATGGGAGCCTGCATTCTGCAGTTGGGCAGAAGTGTTTGCGCCCACTAAGTGGGCACATCAGGGCTCCCCCGAGGTCCTGAAGCAGGTAGAGCCAGGCATCTGGTGTGTTAGTGGACCCATCAGGAGACCTGCTTGACTGAGGGTGAGCAGCCTCTGAGGGACAAGGTCTAAATATCTGGGTTCTAGGTCTGGTTTTGCCCTGACTGACTGAATTTGGGCAAGCCCCCTTTCCTCCTGCACCCTTAGTTCCCCCATATGTAGGTTGGGACCTGTAGACTAGGTGATTCCTAGGTGAATATAGAGTCTTATAGATCTAAGAGTCCCTTCCATCTGTGACTCTTATTTTATATAAGTGATCACTACTTAAATTTGTGACTCCTGCCCTGGAGTCCCTCAATTGTCATAGCCAAGATCACTTAACCCCTAGCTGCTGGCCTCAACTTTGGCATGTTAACCAATGTTAACATTTGGGAATGTTAACCAATCCAGAAGTTCCAGGCTTCAGTTCCATTTGAGCTTTTTGCTCTGCCTTTTCGCCTTGGCTCTGTGCTGTGAACTTGTTCCTTGTCCCCAGGGCCTTCTGCTCCAGTTTAGGTCATTGGGACTTAGTCTGATGCTCCCACCTGGTCCCCCCAGGACTTGCGGTCAGGTTTTGACTCCCATCTCTGTGGGCTCTGCCCTTACTGCCGGGGGCAGGCAGGCCTTGGTGACACCACCTTCCTGGCTTCCTCGCCCACTGTCCCCTTCAGGCTCGGTGTGTGCTGACCCACCTTTCCTGCTCACCCGCGCGTTGGCCACACAGTGGTGATGGGTGGGGCGGTGGATACAAAGATAAAGAATACATGTCTCTGCTCTGCAAGAGCTTCCAGGTACGTAAATAAATCGTTACTGTACGGGGTGAAAAGTGCTATTAGAGGTAGATTAGACAGGCCAAGGGAGCAGTGAAGATGGACTAATTTATTCTGAGGACACTAATAAAAAGAAGTATTATCTGAACTCGGCTCTTAAAAATGAGTAGGAGTCTAGAAAAGGGAGAAGGGCATTGCAGGCAGAGGGGACAACATGAACTAACACTGCGAATCTGCATCTGCTTTAACTCCTGGTGCAGCCAGGATCCTGCCCCTTCCAGGGGTCCAGCCCACTTTTGCAGCCTGGCCGCCTGTCTAGCCCGTCCCTTCACTGCCATCCCCCCTTCTGCTAGGACTACCTGTCTGAAGGAAAATAACTTTCACATGCGTGATCTCGTCCGATCCCAGTGCAATGCTGTGCGATAGGCCAGAATAGGAATGGTTACCCACTTTTCATAACCGAGGAAACCGGGGCCCAGAGAGACTAGCTAGGTCTTAGGAGAAGACCCGAGGCAAGCAGCCTGATTCTCGGTGTTTCTGAGGGCCTTGCTCTGGGCTCAGTCTGCAGCCATGGCCCTGAGTCACGTTGCTGGTTTAAATTCTGCCCACGTTTGGTTGAGGAGCACCAAATCCCAGGGAGGGAGCTCAGTGTATACGTGCACGTGTGCGCACACACGCAGCCGTCGGAGCAGGAGCAGGAAATGCGGAAATAAACATGAGTTGAACCAGGGATTGGGTAACTGTCAAGCCCAAATGCCATCAGCCCCCATTTTGCTGCGGGACTAAAACTGTTTGTTGGAGGATCAACCTGTGCACAGGGTCTAAGTGAAATCTGTCAGAACGAGTGGGAAAGGAGCTATTTTTAGTTTGCAGAGTCACTCACTCAGCTGTGTTAGCTGAGGTTTGAGCCAGTCCCCTACGCTTTCCACAGTGT